TCTCTCTCTCTCTCTCTCTCTCTCTCTCTCTCTCTCTCTCTCTCTATATATATATATATATATATATATATATATTTAAAAAGATATTTTGATTAGATATACCCAACTCAACATCTAAAGGATGATGCATGTTAATAATGAATTAAGTTTACAATTTCCATTATGATCTTTTAAAAATTAGAATGGAGTATAATTCTGACATACATAATTTCTTAATAATGACACTAAAGATTTTGCAGATTTTCAGATATTGGGTAGTTCAAAACTGATAGATGACCTATGGACAAGGTACTTGATGTAGACAGTACATCAGATCTTTTTTATGGATCAAAATATCAAGCTCCTAGAATTAGAATGCTTCATTGGATCCAGAGGATCTTAATATTTGTCAATTGCTAACATCCTCTTACCAGGCAATGTGCTCAAATGAGCAGTTGCTACACAATTCCAGGCACATGTGGATCATATTGAGTTTTTTGGTCTCTTTAAATTTAGTGTTCAGTTCTTTTGCCACTGAAACTGCCTTATTGTTTATGCTAGCAACCTTGTACTGCAACCTTGTACGGAAATCACAAAGAATTTCATATTCTATGATATGCCAATGGAAGGTCCAGGATTTATCATAAAATATGATATTCTTTGTAGATTAGATACCCGGATTGGAGATAATGAAAAGTAGGTTCTGTTCCTGTTTGGCTAGCCAGTTCCAGAAGATGGGACCAAGGGCTTGTTTCTCCGTTTCCTGGTATCTATGCTATGTGGTTCCACAGAAGACTGTCTTATTCCCCATGCTTTTAATATGTTGAATGAGGTCCTCCTGAAGGACACATTGAAAATGTGGTGTCATCAGTATGGAGCTGGGTGTTATGAGCACAGAATGTCTGTGTTTCTCCAGCTACACTGGCTTTCTATTCTTTCCATGCTGAAACAAATCTAGTTTTGACTTTTAGCCATCCATGTTTAAGATCACTCATGCTCTTCATGACAGTATTGCAGTAATATACTTAACAGAAGTTGTCCTTTGCATTTCCCCACCATCTGAAGTACAGGAAATGGCCTTAGGGCAACAGGTCTACTCTGCATTGATAATGCAGTGCTCTTCCTGCAAGGCTCACCTGGTATCTAACTTGAGCTTCAGGCCAACAACATTTCTTCAGATTCCCAATCGTCTGTATAATTACTTAGATGTGCTTTATGTCTGTTTTTATTTCTGCATACCAATTTAATACTGCTCTTTTATTCTAGGCAATTTAAATATTTTTGTTTTAATTTGGCTTACTGTAATTTCAACTTTTAGGGAGCTGCCCTGATAATCTGCAAGGAGTGGGTGTTAAGGGTCGTTAATACAAAAGGGGAAAAAAAAAAAGACACAGTACTTTTGCCAGGAAAGTAGGATATAAATCATAAACAAATGAATAGTATGCAATGATTATAGGTAAACCCTGAGGATAGTTACATAGTTCCTTGTCCAATGTCAAGGCAAAGAACACATAGACACAGAAATTATAAAGCTTAATTCAGAGGCCTAGTTTTTACCTTCACAGTAGGCTCCCATTTGCAAATCAAGAGATGAGAAAATGGAAGATTTTGAAGAATGAAGTTCATGCCCATAAGGGTAATATCTTGCTCCCTTTGCTTCCAAGCATAGTTACACTAGGGAGCAATCCCATCCATAAATATTTTTATTTTTACTCAGTTCAGTTTTCCCTTCACATCTGTGTGATTAGAATAAAACATTGGGTATTCAAAACTTGACTTGTTTCGTTTGTAGTTGCATTAATGATGCTGGAGTGTGGGATGTAATGATTGCTGTATATATGTGGTATAGACATCAAAGGAGATCCGATTTAAAGAACAGAAAGGAAAAGAGCCCCCTCCCCCTGCATCCCTTGGCCCAGGCTCCTGAATAACAGATGAGGACACTGCTTATTTATAATTTATAACTTGAAAAATCATGGGGTTCATTTGTGTTCTACAGAGGGAAGAATACACATCCCTTTCACACTGAGTAATTTTTCTCTCTTTTTAAAGAAAAGTGAAAGAAATAGGGATTTGTGTTGTGTTTTCCAAGTCAGGACAAATCTTCAGTAAAGGGTACCACCACAAGTCTTTAAATGGCTGGCCATTTCTCACCCATTTCTTTCTATTCCAGTTATAATTGTAGTGATAATAAATTCTGAAATATTTTTTCTCTTCTCCCTTTCAGCACAATCTGTTTCCTAATTTTAATCTACATCACAGACGTATTCTAACAATAAAAGGAGAAAAAAAAAACTTGTGAAAATATCTATCTTATACATACCCTATGAATGGAGTATTTAGCATTAAAAATATTAGACACTGTTAGGCATCTCATAGCTAATGATTCGTCATGTGTTTATAAGGAATAGGTATCTGTAAGATTTTAAATGTCAAGTTTCATTTCATTTCTTATTACTATGGAACAAGTCTTTTCAGCCCTCTGATGTATTTTCTTTGCCCTTTTCAACTAAGTGCAAATTTTGTTTAATTATCAATTTGGGCTCTAACTGTCCACGGGGGCAGTTAGCGCCCTGACGACACTCCCTTGAATTATCCGCCAACTCCCCATCTTTCTTGGAAGCTATTTATTTATTATTAGGACTATTTTATATTGT